GAACAAAAATTTAAATAAAATTTAAAGGTTTGTCTTTTTTAATACTATTTTAGAGAGTAAAAAATATGTTTATATGTATATTTTTTTAATACAGATTTTTATCCCTACTAATGATGGTAATGTGCATTGGTACTTGTTTTTGATTAATCTTAAGAAATAACAACTCATTATACTAGATTTAAAGTCATGTCCAACATATGACTTTAGGAGGATGAACATAGAAAAAGTTATATATAACAAATAACATGCTTTTTAAATATATATTTTTTCCCTCATATCGTTTAAATAACTAATGTTTGTTTTATAGGTATTATTTTATGAAATAAATAATATTAGATAACTCATTTTTATCACTATAACACAACAAAGTTAACAATTTGTTACTTTACTATAGTAATTCTAGATGAAGTAGGAAACCAGATATGAGATCATAAGAAATTAAATTTTACTCATTAAAAAATTAAATGTTATTCATTATATTTTATATTATTCTTTTTGAACACTATGACTACATGACTTACCATTTCAAATCATTATACGTAATAATATAAAAATGAGTTATTTAATAACATTTCTTTCATAAATTATACTTATAATAATAATTGAAAGATTATGAGAAGAAAAATTATTTTTTAAATTGTTATATACAACTTTTTTTAATGTTTATCCTTTTAATATCATATATATTAGACAAAATTTTGAGTTCAGTAGAAGAAGTTGTTTCTTAAGATGAATTATAAATTCATAATCAAGTATCAATTCATATTACCAAATCATTGATAGGGACAAAAATCTGTAAGTACAAAAATGAACAACTCATTATAAACAATTTTGTTTTCTAAAATAATAACATTAATCAATGTTTTTGAAAATGATGAACCTTTAAAACAATTTCTACTTTTTTCATAAAATAATCCATTTAATATTTCATAATTGTATTTTAATTTATGTTTCTTATGGATTATATTGCTTTCATTTAAATGTAAACAACACATTTAAGGATAATACGCTTGCTAAACATGTGAACAACACATTTAAGTTAAAGATATTATGTTTATTAAATTATATACTCACTAAGACATACATATACAAAATAGTTGCTAAAAATGTAGTAGCAAGAATCAATAGATTACATATTTGCAATGTAATCTCACATCATGCGACTTCATACAAGCAACAAAATTTAAAACTTGAAAATATTTTCTCAAAAATTATTTAAAATGATTTGTCAAAAAGGTATAAAGATGATAGTGTGAAGGCTAACTTATTGGTCTTAGGGGTGCTTCTATCTCCTTTACTAAAAGCTTATGAGATCAATACCTCTTTCCTAAAAACTATTTAATAATGAATCATGTAACACTTATATGTGATTTTATCTTTATTTATAATATATAATTTAGAGATACATAATTATTTTTCTTATCATTCTTGTTACTTCTCAAAAGATATGTTGACATAGTCACTTCAAATTCATTTAACTCCATTTCCTTATAAGAGGTTTGAACTTTAATTACATCCACTATAAATTAGAAAAATATTATTAGATATATATAAAATTATTTGACAAAGAAATATAAATAATAAAGATAAGTTATAAATATGTGGTACTTTAACTTCTAATTTTTTGTCATCAAATTTGAAGGAATGTAGTGTCTTCTTAAAGAACTTTCAATTATGATTTTAATTTCAATCTCCATTACTTAAGGTTGAATGTTTTGGTGTTATAACAAAATTTTCTAGATATGTCTGTGTCACTCTACATTAAGATTTTTTTCTCAATGAGATAGACCTACTTGCTTCCAACTTTATGAAGATTTATAAGAATTAAAAATAAATTACAACATAGACAAATTTTTTGTGCGTATATGTGTTGTATTTTTCTTGTGTTATATTTTTCTTTTATAATTAAGGATAATAAAAATAATAGTATTTTTCTTTATATTATAATCTTATGAATATTAAAAATATTACTGTTGTAATAACTAAATAGTAACATACGTAATATCTTGTTGGAAATAATAATTATTATAAAATTAAAATAATAAAAAGAACTCAACAAAAAAAAATAATAAAAAGAAGAAAAAGAAAAAAGAAAATATAAATAATAACAAAAAAATAATATATAAAAATTTGATAGTTAACAAATACTATAAATAAAGAAAATAATTATTATTATAAATTTAAAAAATAATAGCAAAACAATATAAACAATTCTAACAAAACATAAACATGAATTAATAAAGAAATTTGGGATATATATATGAGAAGGGTTATAATAACACCTGTGTAACTTTTATTAAGTATTACGTTCAATAACTTTATACTAAATGTGAATTTTGTAAATTTAATCTTAGATTATATATAGAAAGTTCTATATTAATTCAAGATAATTTGATATTTCATTTTTATAAAACAAAATTGACGTAATATATACATTTCAAAGTATACTAAAATATGTACACTTTGATTATCTTCAAGTTGTTGTTCAATTTTTATACTAACGGTTGAATTTATAAAATTCACATTTAAAATAAAATTATTGAACGGTATAATACTTAATAAAAGTTACACAAATATTATTATAACCTATCTCTATATATATATATATATACACGTATTAAAATCTTAAAGTAAAGTAAATATTTAATTATTCAATAGCCATGATTAATTCAGATTTAAAATTTTAAAAACAAGTCTTATTAAAAAATACGCTATAATTTATTTTGCTTAGGACATATTTAGATTAAAAATGTTTTTAAAACTTCACTATTTCTGAAATAAAGATTTATTCAATAAAGAAGTTTGTAAACTATATATATCAAAGTAAATTCTTGATCACTTAAATTTCATACTTTGTGGAAATTGCACATAAAATTTGTTTGGAACAAATTTAAAAATACTTTTTTGAATTTTTTTAATAAAAAATACTTTTTATAAAAAGAATTTTAAATAACATTTTAATTTATCAAATAAGTTCATACTTTTTGAAACGTGCTTCACATGCAATTCACAATAACATAGGTATAAATGACATAACATATAAACATAAATATGAAATTTGGAACATACCAGTGAAGATATTTGAATAACTTCATCCATCTTCTGCCATATTGATTGTTCACGTAACTTCTCAATTTTCTCTATCAATCGTCACTAAAACAAAAAATATATATATATTTTTTATTAAAATAATTTTTTCACCCAAATATTCATAAAATGATGAATGTTTATTATATAACAAAAGGTGAATTTTGACTTAACTCTCATGGAAGTTTTATCTCACAACATAATCATATATACAATGAGAAGAAGGAGAGAAATAGTTTAAAAAGCTTGATTTTTAATAAAAGAATATCATGTAATATAAACAAAATAGAAGATATTAAGAGAATTAGAGAAGAATTGAACTATGAATAACCTAATAGACTTACCTCTAGAAAAAACTTCTATTCCTTTATGTGTAGAAAGGAAGATACTATATGCTATTTATAATACTCTTCCAAATCCCTTGACATCTGTTATTAGGATCTCTTAACCGACCTTATCATGTAAAAGACAAAGTGATTTTTTTAAAGTGATAAAATGAAATTATCTTCATTATCTAATTAGTTAATTATTATTATTTTTTAAAAAAAAATTATAAGTCAATAATTATGATAAGTCCATATTTAAAGTCTTTTAAACTAAATTCTAAAAATAAACAAAATACTCACGTGTGTTCCGTTCCCTGAGAGTACTGATTCTCCTTCCAGCAACCACAAACAATTAGGACTAGTATTTTAATAAGGAGAATAGTAAAGTTAAATGTTTATTATATATAGTTAAAATTTATAATAAATTATATATATAATTAAATATTATATTTATATTATAAATTATATTTAAAATTTATATAAATAAATATTTTTTAAATATATTATATTTTTGATTTATAATAAATAATCTATATTATTGTACAAAAATATTTTTATTTGTTGATATTTATTTTTAAAATTTTAAATTTAATGTACTAATAATTATGATAAATAAAAAATTAAATTAGACAAAAAAGTTAATAAAAATTAAAAATCTTTTTATTTAAGAAAAATATGTTAAAAATACTTTTGCACTAAATAACAAATTGTATTTAATATATAGAAGTTAATAATGAAGGAGATTGTTCTATTTTATAAAAATTCATCCTTATAAATATCTTTCAAATTATTTTTATATTATCATTTTTATTTATCTTTTACTTTTTAAAATTGTTCCAAAACTATTCTTACAATTACAATTACTCAATAACTATTCATCCTCTAATAATTAACTTTGTTTTTATTTTATTTTTTTAAAATTTACACAAAAAGTATTTTTTTTTATACTAGTGCAAAATGAAATCTCTTCATTCCCAATACAAAATATGCCTCTTATATGCCTTTCATTCAAGCAAATTATCTAACAAACCGACACTTATAGAGGAAAAATCAGACCTACAATTTGAATATCCTTTCCTACATTATCCTTCATAAATATCATCTAACAATATATAACAGAAAATGATAATTTAACAAGATATAATAAGATAAATTATCAAATTATATTATAATTTTTTGTTTGTTACACTAACAAAATATGATAATTTTCTTATCCAACTTCTTGGAATGATAATTTTTTTTATACAACCCCTTATCTTATCTTTTTATTCCATGTATTTTTTAATCTTAAGGAGGGAGTTGAATTAAAAGGCAACGGATATGATTAACTATGTCTCTTCTCTCATCTTTATTATACAGTAAGTATTTAAACATGTGGATTACAAATTAAAAGATTATTATATATAATAAAATTTATAATAAATTATAAATATAAATAAATATTATATATTTATACCGTGGTTTGATTTAGTTGGTTGTAGTATGTTTTGGATCGTAGGTGAAGTTAAACTTTCTTATTACATCGAGTCATATTGTGTTAATTCCATACTTATGCATATTGAGGCTTTGAGTCAGCAAGAATAATGCTCTCTGTCACACTCTTTTAGTCAAGATTGAAATCGTAGCTAAGTTATGATTATCTTCTGACAAACTAATGCTTTGATAATTCAAAATAATGACTTCCAAAATCCCAAAAAAATAAAAGAGAAAATATTGAGTTATGGTTTTCTTCATGACAACATTTCACAACAAAAGTGAAGAATGATTGTAACATGCTAGAAGTACCCAATAAGTAGCAGCCCAGGAGCAAAAGTTTGAAGGATGCTATATAACAGCTTATATGAGTGAGATGGGTAAGACGAGTTTGATCCAATTTCAGTATGAAAAATAACATTCCTCAAAAAGGCAGTTATATCTGAGGTAAACGAGTTGGAAGATCAGCTGGGACATCCGCACTTGCCTGTCATGTAAACAAACAAGTCAATTCAGTAATCTTCTAAAATGAAGCAACAAGAGCATGACAGCATTCTCTTATGCTTTTAATATTCTCATCAACCAAAAACAAAAATCCACATTAAAAACATGTTAATTTTTGAATCATGTTAATCATCTTAGACCTTGGTTGGATACAAGTTAGAATTGTTTCTTTGAGAGCTTCTCTATAAGAAATTTTTTTTTTCTCTTACAAAAACTCTTAAAGCACTTTTAAGTTTGCATCAAACAGCCTCTTATATTGTCTTTGTTAGATAAACATTTATTGAATCCTCACTTGTTAGAAAAAGGTTTTGTCGTCGTAGACAAATATTTATTGGAACCAAGGTTCACTTTAAACATTAGCATATATTTCAATTAAAAAAATTTATTGCTTCTTGGAATAGAATTAGGATCTGTCATACCTGAAGGTATCTTGTCAACAAAGCAGTAGTACTTGAATTAAAGCCTTGAACTGGTTCTCCTTTTGTGCGAGATGCATTTAGTTGCTTTCTTACTTGAGTGGCTAATGACTGGATGAACATTACAAAACAATAACAACAAAGAAAATGAAATTCAGTAAACAAAGGTGAAAAAGTCATATTTACAAATGCAAATCTCATCAGAAAGAGACAATTATAACAACAGCATAATTCTCTGAAAGGGAAAGAAGTAAAAAAATAAAGGATCACTTATTAAATACATACCTTCCCAAGCTCCACTCCCCACTGGTCAAAAGAATTGATTCCCCAAATAAAACCTTCTACAGCAATTCTGTGTTCATAGATTGCCAACAACTGGGAAAGCATAAAGGAGCTGGAATTAGTGCTAAAAGATCAACTTGCACAATCTCATTAAAGAAAATCATTAGTATAAACTCCTCAAGCATAGAAAATCCATATTTGGTTGGAATATCAGTACATTCAATTAAGAGGTGAGATCTAAGGGTGGAGAAGGATATTTTCTGGATGGACATACTCAACAGAAAGAAGATACTGAAAAATTCAAATTCCTGCCAACATGAATGAATTATTTCCTTTCTAATTATTAATCATAATAAGCTGAGTGATTTCAAACCTGTCCAATATTATAAGCATTCAATGATGGAAGCAGAAGGCTGAGAGAAGGCCGATTGCCTGAGAATGTCTGCAGCATCAAGCAGAATGCACATTAAGGGACTACTGATTCTATAAGTCAAGAAGTAGCATAGAAACAGAAGGGAAGCTACCTTGTGTGGCACAAGATGTGAAGGAACATTCTCCTTTTGCAATTGTTCAGGGGTCTGTTAAAAAAAAGGATTGGTGGATTATTTGATTATAACAAAAGAATGCATGTAAAATACAGTATAAAACTGCCAAAATAGGATATTTTCTGTTCACTCTCTTGTGTCCCATTGTCTTAAAGATACTAACATCAGAGCATTCTTCCCAGTTCCCATTAGTGCAAAGACCAGTTTAATCTAATTGCCATTTACTAAAAATAATCATGAATAATGAATTTAATCAAGTTTGTTGATTTATGACATGTAATTTTCTTTTCTACTTTATATCTTGCTAAGGGTCAAGAAATCAGGCTACATAATCCATAAAAAGTAAAGGAGAGAGCATAAATAAGTATATCTTCCCATATGCAAGAGCTCCGTTTGTTTAATATATAATCAGGAATTAGATAAGAGAGACTACAAATGTACCTTCCCATAGGCAAGGGCATCTGGTTGTGCGAAAAAATTTGACATTAACTCATCATGGTTGCTCACCACCTCATCTGCACAGGGAAAGCGCAAGAATTGTAAATTGCATGTCTCAAATACAAATAGCTAGAGTGTAAACTTCAAAACCAACCATATTTTACCTTTCAAGTATACAGGTTGCTGGCTTTTCACAACTCCGATAAAGTCACAAGGAATAATACGTCCCTACAAATTAGGAGATGTAAATGTGTAATTTCACAACAAAGTTCATTCATACTAAGAGATAAATGTAACATCTATGTTGAATTAATAAACAGATTGAAAGGCCTATATCAGAGAGTGATTGTTATCACACTACACAGTTTTTGAAGTAAATCATAGAAATAAGCTAAAACATAAAATGAAGTCCACTTGTTAGTATTGATCCCTCTCACAAATTCTAAAGTAAAAAACAAATTAAAAAATAACAATAAAAATTGAATAAATTCCTCAATGTTATCCGATAACAAAAATTTTGTCATCCAGTTTATATCAAGATGCTCGTGTTTGGAATATATCCAAGCATGACTAACTATGACAACAATTGACAACCTAATGAAAAGTCCTAAACGCAGTTACAACTTACAAATGCACCATTCAGAAAATTGTTTAATAGGTCTTAGGACTGATTGGAGAAAACTGACTTCCAAAAGATAAACCATCAATACATATGCAACGTAAATGATCTGCCCCATAACCGCCACTTGACTTGAAGGTCAGCATATAAAATAAACTTTCATGAAATTTCTGCATGTATTTATGTCCTCATCAACCATAATAACTAGATGTTCACCAAGCATTAGCATGCAAACTGCACAATCTAGGCTTCAAATATTAATTACGATACAAATATCTTCATCTGTATCTCACCTGGTGTATAAGTTGATAAAAACTGTGCTGCCCATTTGTTCCTGGTTCACCAAAATCAATTTCACCAGCCTCAAATGGTAGTGGGACACCATCAATTGAAACACCCTTGCCATTACTTTCCATGCTAACCTAATTTGAACATACACTAAACTATAAGAACAAAGAAAGAAAAACATTAAAAAGTGCATGAGCATTTCAATTGCTAGGCAATAACAAACATACCTGTTGAATGTGTGGGGCAAACTTCTCCAGGGCTTGAGAATAAGGTAAGATAGCCTGGGTGTGAACCAGAAGTTTCAGTTAACAAAAGTTGAAAATGACTAATAAATAAAAAAACATAATGAGGTACTCACTCGGGCAGGATATCCAAGAAATGAGACATTCCATACACTCAACAGTCCCAAAAGCACCTGGCCCATTGACACAATATTATTGAACATGTCATCTTGCACTTGTTAGAGAAACATTTCTAATGGCAGATAGATGCATAATCCTTGACAAGAGGAAGGATTGATGTGATTATTCATTACTCATTCCCCATCTATGAAAGCAGTTTATTGCTTCAAAGGAGAGAGTAGTTTTCAAACCATGAAAGCCAATTTACATTTTGGATACAAAGATATGTTCATCAAACATGAAAAAGGAAGCACTAAGTAGAGAGAGTGAGAGGGAAAGTAAGTCTAAGGGAGACCATAAAAAGAAAAAATAAAGGAGATAAAAGTGTTAATAAATAGGAAGAGCATCATTAAGAAAGATAAGTAACATAATAGATGTGAACATCTACTATAAGACTATCACAGTTACTATAAAAACCAGTCATGGGAGTCTACCTAATAGCTTAAGCTTTTAGGTTAAGAGGCTTTCCAGACACTAGGAAAAAAAATGCCTTAAAATTGGTCCAATATATGTTGGAGATCCATAATCATAAACAAAGAAATCACCGAAGGACACAAAAGTTAGTATGGGGGGGGGGGGGGGGGGTGTTCTTACAGGTAGATTTCTTTCAAATGGTTCTGAATACATATGTTGATCAATGCTGGAAGCTCCCTTTAAAAACCTTCACAAAAGAAACATGACATCGTGTATGAACCAAGTATAGCACACGAAAGGATACTCATTATATCAAATAGGGCCAAAAAAATGAATAAATAAAATGAATAGATGGATGGTTCTTTACTGTCTTGGAATTAAAGCTATTACAGTATTACCCCAAGAGCCAAAAGAACACCATAATTTCCTTTGGCTAATTACAGAAAGAAAATATAGGAGCATTGAAGGCATTATAAATGATTTACCAACTATATATTGTTTTACAGTTTGGTTTAGAATTACTGTGGAGACTATGTAAGACACCATCTGAATACAGATTTAGGGCCATCTATATCCTCAATCCTTTTCTCATTATAAATCAAGAAATCAGGAAGAGCATATGCATAAGAACATTCATTATGTTACCTATGAAGTTGTATTTCCATTTTTTATATTTTTTAAATTAAAAAATTAAAGTGATGCAAGTAAAACAATGCTTACTAGAGTTCATTCAACAATAGGGGAAAACAACATGCTTAAAATACAATGAATTAAGCCACAACTAAACCATTATCACTGAAAAGAAATTCCTGCTATACAATCATATCAATAGTAAATTACATACTTCTCAATTACTGAGAAACCATATTGTAGGGATAAAGGCAATACTCCAACAGCACTGCAGACTGCAAGCAACATAACAAATAACAATCAAAATCAAATATCTTCAATAATTCAAATTACTAATCTAATTCAAAAGGGCAGCCTAGTGAGATCTAGGAAGGGTAGATGTAGAAAACAAATTACCACTATATCGGCCACCAACCCAGTCCCAAAATGCAAAAGTATTATTAGGATCAATACCAAACTTTTCCACAAGCTGCATCAGAAATTCAGACAACAGAAAAGTAACTTTAGGCTCAGCCTTGAATAATTGATATATGTCTATGCCCAGAAACCATACAAAGAATTTTTAACCAAGCTTGATGAGCTAAGCAAAAGAAAAGACAAAAAAAAAAAAATTGAACATACTGTGAGATTGGTACTGACTGCCACCATATGTTTTGCAACTGCTGAAGGCCTGCACGTAAAATGGAATAATTAGCTAGTCTTCAGATTCCATTTAACATTTCTGTTTTACATAACTATATTTTGAAGAAGTCAATAAGGGATGGGGACATAATGCTTATAAACTATAATACTAAAAGTCTAAAAGGTAAAAGCCTCAGATTATATTGAGCAGGCCACTACATAAAATTGAAAGAGCTAGAATGATCATTATACTATTATTCTCGAAAAAAAGAGCTAGCTTTAACACTTCACTTACCCTAGAGCAGACGAAATCCATTCCCTGAGGGTTCGGGCATTCAACATGGTTTCAGCAGTCGTAAAAGTCTTCGAAACAATTACCACTACAAAAATAAAAAGAAGTTCAACAGTACAACACACAAGATGGAAGCCCAGTCTCTTAAATCAATATCAAGTAAAAAGGAAAAGCTAAAATACATATTTACCTAGGGTTGTTTCAGGATTTAATCCTGTGATATTTCTAGCAACATCAATTGGATCAACGTTTGCCAGACTGCACATACAATTATATACAGAAAGAGGTTGATTTCATGAAAAGTTAGAAAAGAAGTTGATCTTATCACCATCAAATATGAGACAAAAAATAAAATAAAACTAGAGGGGAATGGGGGATCTCAAGGGTATCTTGCATAGACAGATTTGGGTAGTATACCAACATGATATTGGATACTTACAACCGCAGCTGACGTCCTCTTGCAGATTCAAATGCTTCAGGATCTGTAAGATGTTATGAAAACATATTCAGCACTTCTACTTGTTTGAAGATATGGTCCTCATGCTCAATTGTTCATATACATATGTACTAAAAAAAAGTACAAATATAAGGAGAAGAAAATGTAATAATGTGAATGCCACCAAGAAACAAAAAAGCACCAGCAACCTGTTTGAAGAGCAGTGTGCACAAATAATGGTCCTAAGAAACTGCCACCAATACCAATGGCAACAACATCCTTTAGTTCCTTTCCTGTAGCTCCAACCTACAAAAACATAATTTTTACTCGAGACAAGTTCAACAATGTCCATGTTAAATATATGATATTCCTAGCAAAAGAAAACAATCTAGTGCATGCTACTGAAATAAAGTTTCTACGGGACATGTTTATTGCGTGCCACATTAGGCAAGAAAAGTGTTTAGACAGACCACTTCATGCCATCACCACTGATTCCTTCACCTTTAGTTTCTTGAACAGCAGCCGTAAACAACTATATGGGAGGTTGCATGGAGGCCTCGGTATTGATACAATCTTCTCATTCTTCTCAGGGTGATGGTAATGGCATGAAAGCTTCTTTCAAAATCCATACATTTTGAAATAAACATATTATTTTCTTGATTTCAAAAGAATATGCATTGATTTCAAAATGTATGGATTTCGCAAGAAGAAGCATATGCGTCATTACCATCACCCTGAGAAGAATGAGAACATCGTAATAATACCAAGGCCTCCATGCAACCACCTGGATAGCCTTTTTGGACTTTACAAGCCAACTATGGCAGCAGTGTCATCAGAGACAGACCTTGCTGGTTAGAGGGTCACACTGGAAAACGAAGGTAGGATAGAGCAAAAAACAGTGGTACAGTGGTCACGGTTAATGTTCATGTGTAGCAAATAAGGAAATACAGAAATAAAAAGATAAAGGGTAATAATGAGTAGAATCTTTAATTTCTGCTATACAAGTTTTCGTAATTATAAGGAAATAAATCATATCAAATCATATATTTAATAGTCCATATATAAGAAACGGCTAGTATATTACCCAAGATCCACTGCGGATCTGCTCAGAGAACTCTCGGATCTTGTCTAGGACATTCCAAACATCTGGGACAACATTCTTCCCATCACTCTGTATAACAGAATCTCTTGGAGCACGAAGAGCTACATGAAGTACCGATCTATTTTCAGTGCTGTTTATCTGAAAGTCCAAGAAAAATACAAAAGAAAATGTGATAATTCAAAAAATGTAGCAATTGAATCCACAATAAATATACCACATGTACACTATTGCACTCAAGGTTTCCCACTCCCAGAGTAGCAGAAGGAATTTCAAAAACCATTTTATAAAAACTATAGTTGAGATTAACAACTTTATTCCAGATGGAGCAAAAATTTTAAATTGCAGGTGAGTGTGACATGAGCATATGTACAACTTGTTGGATAAGTAAACAAGCACTTACATGTTCCCCATTGTACATCTGATTTATCTTTTGTTTGAGGGATGCAACCTACATCACATCCAGAGATATAATAATCAGATGATAGCATTTCAGTTTGATAATGAACCTTTTTTGTCTAAAAGGAGAACATGCCTGAGGACCACAAGATAAAACAAGTTGTCCAAATAACTAGGAGTGAACTAACCTCTGCCAATTTGAGGAGTTTTTCCCTTGTTTCAAGAGTGGCTTGCTGCCTTGAGTAGTCCAATAGAATTCCATCAAATTCACTTCAAAGAATGCAAAAGTCAGAAGGTTATAAATCAACACATTACTTTTTTAGCATAAAATATTTTCAAATTTCAACTGATAAATCTCCTAATTTTATTGTTACAGTTATGGAAGGATATAACAGATATAAAGTTTATAGGTCTTCATAGAGTAAGCATCATACACCACCATTGACCGGGATCTCTCATCATCGCTCAATAAATCACGTAAATGAGACTTTTTTACATCCTCGACATGGTCCTGCACAAAGGAGATCCAATTAATAGAATCTTTCACTGTTTCTACATTATAAATATCTAAGAGGTAATTGTCTGTCACCTTTAACTCCTTCCATGGCTGAGTGTCACAGATGAGAGTGGACGAAGCCATTTGGAATTATTATTGATAGATTTTCCTCCACCAAGAATTTTCCCCAATCTATTATGTTATTTAGCCAATTCTCTTTGAACAATTTCTTATTACAAATTCACAATCGAACAAGTTTTCTGCATCCAATAAAGCATGAACATTAACTTATTGATGAATAGAAACAACAATAAAAAGTATCTGGAAACCTTTACTTCAAAAAGTACTTTAGAGCCTGAAACATTTAATAGGTCATAATCAAGCTAACTACAGATAAGTATATTAACATTAATAAATAAAATGAACGCAACTGTACAAAAGATCCTTATTCCAAGCAATTCTATTTGACAAGAATTTACATACATTTGTAGTATGAATATTGATTGACAAGAAATAAATAGTTTTCTAACAGCAAGCCATTGTGATTCTCTTCTACTACATAAAATTATCATGATTTTAATAATAGCCTCCTATTAAGAGGTCGGGCTGCAGCATCCATTTAATTTCCAGCATGATTAAGGAAAAAACATATGGTACAAAGGAGCCAAAGATTATTCAAACGCTAAGCTCATTTGACACTGAACCAAGCTTCTTTAGGCCAACAAGCAACATGACAAAGCAGTAGGTATTCATTTTAGCAACTAATCCAGTGAACCATATGCTATTGAAAATGAAAGACCAAACACACACAGTCAGCAACAAAATTTGGAATCAGGATTCAGGTCCATCTAAGCATTTAGTCAAGCACTAGCCATGAAACCAACACCTGGAGTTCTGAATAATTACGTATTAAGATGGATCTTATATACAATATAATCCTTATATATAATGCACAGTGAAGTACTACATGAGTGTATATATAAGAATCCAAATATGTTGAATCACTCGTGTTATAAGGCTAACTGAGCATAAATTTCTTAAAGGGATTTCCACCAGTATACAGAATATCACTAGCCCAAATGAACTTTCATAACCAAAACCTACCCAATTGAATCAAAATATGCATTGGTAAGAATCACACACACACACACACAAATGCCAAAAACCAAATGAGTAACTGAGAAAACAAGAGCTAAACAACAAATGCATACCCTCAAATTCTAAATAAAAAGAACATCAAATTCACAGAACACATCAAAGCATGAAGAGTCAAAAACAGAGCATTCAGACACGTGACATTATTGGCGATAAGCGTGGAAACAGAGAAATGGGTTTGGTTCCAAACCTGAAAAAAGAAGCGACTTTGAAAAGAAAGGGAAATGGGGTGTCGTAGATTATGGTTTGGATGGTGGCGATCAAAAAAAAAATAAAGCAAAGGTAGGTTGGAAGTTGTGACTTGTTGTTGTTATTTTAATGAATATTGTATGTTAAACAAAAAAGGTGGCGGATTCATGTTCTGTGGACGGAATTATGTTGTTTCAAGCTCACGGGAATGGACCTTAAGACTCGTGATGGCGCACAGTTACAACCATAGAAGGATGGCTACTCTCAATTTCATGCCACATTTATTAGGTACATTTTATTGCATGTTAAATATGTTTTTAATTCTTGAAATTAATAAAGAACTAAATTTTTCAATTTTATCAAAAGGAAATAAAAATAAATAAAATTAATTTTTATTTTTAGTTCGTGAATTTTTCTTTTCTTATTGATATTTTAATTTATAGAGTTAAGTTTGTGTAACCTTCAAGAAATCTTAATGATTAAAATTAAATAAAATTTGTTTAACAAAACAACAATTGAAAGTATGAATTAAAACAAAATTTAAAGATTAAAAATATGTTTAGTTTTTTATTTTTTATACAGTGTTTTTTTATACAAAAATAATTTATAGTTTTATATAAACTTCTGTACAATACTTACAAAGTTATTTTAGTCAAATTACCTCATAAACTTTTAAAACTTATTTTAGTCACATTACCTCATAAATTCTAAAAATATCTTATCAAATACACTAACATTTTATTACACTAAAGTGTAAATAAAAGAGAGAGAGAAAATTTTCTAAAACATGTGTAATAAATTATAAAGATGTATTTGTACTCAATTCACGTTTACTTGTGTACTGGGACTATACACCACCCGGTCAAAGTCAACACTAAACACATCTCCTCAGGCCGAGTACCCATCAGGCTAATGGGCCGAGTACCCCCCTCAAGCCGAGTACCCCCTCAGGACGAGTACCCATCAGGCTAATGGGTCGAGTACCCCCTCAAGCCGAGTCCACCCTCAGGCCGAGTACCCCCTTAGGCCGAGCATCCCTTCAGGCCGAATACCCATCAGGCCAATGAATAGGCCGAGTACCTCCATAGGCCGAGTACCCCCCTTAGGCCGAGTATCCCTCAGGCCAACAAATGGGCCGAATACCCCCTTAGGCCGAGTACCCCCCTCAGGCTGATGAATAGGACGAATACCCCCTCGGGCCGAATAACCCCTCAAGCCAACAAATGGGCCGAATACCCCCTTAGGCCGAGTACCCCCCTCAGGCTGATGAATAGGACGAATACCCCCTCGGGCCGAATAACCCCTCAAGCCAACAAATGGGCCGAATACCCCCTTAGGCCGAGTACCCCCCTCAGGCCGGGTACCCATCAGGCCAATGAATAGGCCGAGTACCCCCCTCAAGCTGAGTACCCATCAGGCCAATGAATAGGCCGAACACCCCTTCGGCCAATGAACAGGCCGAACACCCATTCGGCCAAGGAAAAGGCCGAATACCCCTCCGTCCAAGGGGAAGGCCGAATACCCCTTCGGTCAACGAACATGCCGAATACCCCCTCGGCCGATGAACATACCGAATGGGTATTCAGCTATAACGAATTTCCATGAGAAAAAGGAAAACAAGTATTAATTATATTAAACACATCCACGTCAGCTGTAATCAGTGTGCAAAACCTCGTGCACTAGCCCAATAATCTAGAAAGCCCACCAAGCCCAAGAACGTCACTATAAATACGGTATTGATGGGACTGATTGAAAAGGTATGATTTATCTAGTATAAAAGCCTTATTACTCTATACCGAACACTTACTTGATCGTCGGATTGCCTTTGCAGGTACCCTCCCCACCCCTTGAAGATAGTATTCGGTTGGAACCGAAGACTTAGAAGACCACGAAGGAAGAGCGACAAGAAGAGTGTTTCTAAGCAGGAACATTTTGGCGCCCACCGTGGGGCCGAAACCAAAACGGTTCTCGACCCTGAAGTAAGATGGTAGCATCTAGGAGTCAGCAAGAGAACGCAGCAATTCACAACCTCGGGATGCCCCGAGAACCGAGACAGCAGACGAATCAAAACGAGGAAGGAATGGAGGAGTCATACATGGATCACTCCCAACCCCCCAACCCATCATCAGCCATAGAACAACTGAAGGCCGAAATGTTGGAATTAAAGAGACTTCAGGAGAAGGACGCCCACGAACTGTCGGTCTTGAGAAAGGAAAACTTGGAGCTTAGGAGCGATAATTGATCTTGGCATCCGTCCCACGACACCCCCAACACTCAGTCAACGTGTGATCAAGGGGAATCGTCGGGATGGGTCAAAGACAAGAATTCTTCAGCTGCCTGGCGGAGTGACGACAACAACTTTGGATCAGCAACAATGATAAGGGAAAACATCATTTAATCCCGACATCGCCGGAGCCCGGTTGCCGGACAACTGGAAAAACTTGGCCTTGGAAAAGTATGACGAAACCACCAACCCCAAGGAACACCTTGATGCCTTCGTCACTCAAGTCGATTTATATACAAACGAAGACGCTGTCATGTGTAAAGTTTTTCCCACATCACTAAAAGGACCAGCATTGAGTTGGTTTACAAGACTTCCCCAGGATCGATGGACTCGTTCACAACCTTGTCCTCTCAATTTGTAATACAGTTTGCCACAAGCCGACCCCATCAGCTCACATCCATCGTGTTGGTCAATATTTGCCAGGAAAAGAAGGAACCTCTAAGAACCTTCATGGAACGGTTCAGGAAGATGACCCTATCTATCCGAGACCTAGACCCAGCGGTGGCAATGCACCACCTCACCACGGCACTGAGGCCAGACCCCTTTGTAAACAACCTATGTAAGAAGTCGTCCCGAGACTTAGACGAATTAAGACAAAGGGCCACAAAGTACATGCAGATGGAGGAGTTAGCCAAATTCAGGAACCAGAACCGACTCGAGTTGTTTCAAGAGAAGAAGGAGAAGGAATTCATCCCTAGATCCCGTCCGCGGGACGCTTTCGATCGGGAAAAGAGTACCCGAGGACCCCGATATGCACAATACACACCCCTTAACTCCAGCCGAACCAAGGTGCTGAAACAAGCCCTCGCCACCGAAGTCCTCACAGTACCTCGTCGAGCCATGATCCCACCCCATGCAAACAAAACAAAAACATGTCAGTTTCATAGAAACCGGGGGCATACCACCGAAGAGTGCACGACCATCCGAGACCGCATAGAGGATCTCGTCAAATCGAGACATCTTCAAAGTTTTGTCCAATCTTTGGGAAGGAGGAATCATGACGGTTATCCTAGCAGGAGAGACCACAAAAGAGAAGACTAAGAAAGGGCTCCTCCGAAGTACAGGCACAGGGGACATAGCAAGTCCCACGAGCAGAGTGATCAGCCGCGAGACCCCAATCAGCCGAGAAGAGTAATAAATACGATAGCCGGGGGATTCGCGGGAGGAGGTGCAAAAAAGACACCTGAGAGAAATTCGTTCCATAAAAGCGGTAGAACGAACGAGCTCGATTCATATGCCACCTATCACATTCACTAACAAGGATTTCCAAGGAGTCGACCCGGTGCAAGACGACCCAATGGTAATCAGTGTGGAAATCAACAACTGCATTGTGAGGAAGACGCTTGTGGATCAAGGGAGCTCGGCCGATATCCTATATTGGAAGACTTTCAAACAGTTGGGCATTCCCGAGCACGAATTGGTACCCTACAGCGAGCCCTTACTCAGATTCTCGGGCGAACGAGTGGATACCCGAGGAACAATTGATTTATACACTTACTTCGGGGACGAACGAGAGGGACGAAGGGTTAAAGTACGATATGTAGTGGTGCACGCAAACACCTCCTACAATATCTTGCTAGGACGACCCTCATTGAACAACCTTCGAGCCATTGGTCCACTCCACACCTGGCCATGAAGTTCCCATCCGAAGCTGGCACGGTGATCACCTTGCATGCCGATCAAAAAACGGCTCGCGAATGTTACTTTGCTAGTCTGAAGATGACACTTACCCCTAAGCCTCGGTAGGAGGTTAATGTGATTACAGACACCCACAAAGATGGGTCAGACATAAGCTTAGAGCTAGATCCGAGGTCCGAAGATGAACACCGAGTTGAATCGATAGAGACAACAACCCCATTTTAACTCGGAGAAACGAAGAACAGGTCACGTACTTGAGTTCCCAACTGTCAGAGGTCGAGGCAAGATACATCAAGCAAATCCTCGTGAAGTACTTAGACCTATTCGCCTGGACAGCCGCCGACATGCCAGGCATTGACCCAAGCTTTCACTACCACCGCCTCTCAGTGTGTCGAGACGCCAAGCCCATCGCCCAAAAGAAAAGAAAGATGGGGGGAGAAAGGGCCCAGGCGGTAAAAGAAGAGACAACCAAGCTACTTCAAGCGGGATTTATCAGGGAAGTTAAGTACTCTATTTGGTTGGCCAATGTGGTAATGGTCGAGAAGGCCAATGGCAAATGGCGGATGTGTACCAACTACACAGATCCGAACAAGGCATGCCCGAAAGATGTTTATCCCCTGCTACACATAGACGCATTGGTAGACGGGGTAGCAAGCCATCAGATACTTAGCTTCCTTGATGCTTATTCTGGGTACAATCAGATACCCATGTACCCCCCGGACGAGGGGTAAACAGCGTTCATCACAGAGTCGGCTAACTTTCATTACAGAGTCATGCCGGTTGGTTTAAAGAACGCGGGGGCAACTTACCAAAGACTCATGGACAAGATCTTCCACCAGCAGATCGAGAAGTGTTTAGAAGTGTATGTAGATGACCTGGTGGTAAAGTCTGACTCCATGGACGATCACATCAAATACCTAAGGCAGGTGTTCGATGAGGCTATCATCGACATAAGGAGACCTTGCAACGTCAAGGAAGTGCAGCGGTTGGCTGGGCGAATAGCATCACTGGCCCGTTTCTTACCATGCATGGCGGACAAGTCTAGGCCAATAATGTCGTTGTTGAAGAAGGCTCGCAAATTCCAATGGACCGAGGAGTGTGAATTGTCATTCCAAGAATTCAAAGCGATGCTTGCTGCACCACCACTCTTGACTAAATAGAACCCTCAGTCAGACCTCATAGTCTACATAGTTGTCTCTAAAAAGGCCATTAGTGTTGCCTTGGTACAAGAAAGGAAAGAGCAAGTTCCGGTATACTTCGTTAGTAGAGTCCTGCAAGAAGCAGAGACTCGATACCAGCAGCTCGAAAAGACAGTCTTTGCTTTGGTAGAGGCGGCTCGCCACTTACGCCACTACTTTCAAAGCCATAAAATAGTCATAAGGACGGACAATCCGATAGCCAAAGTCTTGAGAAATCCCGAGCTCGCAGGTAGAATGGTAGCATGGTCAATAGAGCCATTGCAATTTGACATTTAGTTCGAATCAAAAGGTCATATCAAAGCTCAAAGCATGGTTGACTTATTAAATGAGTTTCACCCTGAAACCGCGTCAGAAAAGGCAGTATGGACATTACACGTAAACGGGTCATCAAACCAACAGGGTAACGGAGTCGGGATCATACTTAAAGGACTGGACAACATGGTGGTAGAACAATCACTACGCTTCAACTTCAAGACTTCCAACAATCAAGCCGAATATAAAGCCTTGCTAGCCAGTTTGCGTCTGGCAAGAGAATTGGGGATCACGAGAGTTAAGTGTTGGAGTGACTCCCAGTGTGTCACGGAGCAGATAAATGGAACATTCCAAGTCAAGGAGCCGATGTTGCTCAAGTACTTCCACGCCTTCCAGAAACTCAAGGCTACCTTCGAAGAGGTCTACATAAGTCATACCCCTAGAGATCAATACGAGGGCTGACCAATTGGCAAAGTTGGAAAGTAGTAAGAAGACGAACCAACTCCGTAGTGCAATACATCAAGAGCTACAAAGTCTAGGCATTGTAGAGTCCGAGTGCTTAGAAATTCAGCAAGGAGAAAAAAATTGGATGACTAACATCACCAATTATCTCTTGACGGGAAACATTGGCCGACCCCCACAACAATTCAGTCCAATTCGGCCGACCCCCACAAAAATTGTAGAGCCCGAGACACCTCAGTAATGAAACACAATTCAGTCTCATTTACTTGAGTTCCCCCACAGCAAACTCGCACTCAAACTTGTCAGAGAATAAATTCCCTCCCGAGTTCCTCCACTCGGCTAAGGACGAAAAAATGATTCCCTCCCGAGTACCTACACTCGGCCAAGAAAGTTAATTCCCTCCCAAGTGCCAACTTGGTCAAGGAAGAATACATAATTCCCTCCTGAGTTCCTGCACTCGACTAAGGAAGAAAAAACGATTCCCTCCCGAGTACCTACACTCGGCCAAGGAAGTTAATTCCCTCCCATGTGCCAACTTGGTCAAGGAAGAATACATAATTCCCTCCCGAGTTCTTCCACTCGGCTAAGGACGAAAAAACGATTCCCTCCCGAGTACCTACACTCGGCCAAGGAAGTTAATTCCCTCCCAAGTGCCAACTTGGTCAAGGAAGAATACATAATTCCCTCCCGAGTTCCTTCACTCGGCTAAGGACGAAAAAACGATTCCCTCCTGAGTAACTACACTCGGCTAAGGAAGTTAGTTCCCTCCAAAGTGTCAACTTGGTCAAGGAAGAATACACAATCCCCTCCTGAGTTCCCCCACTCGGCTAAGGACGAAAAAAAAAAAAGACTCCCTCCCGAGTCCATGCACTCGACCAAGGTTGACAAACACCAATCGCTCCCGAGTCCACACACTCGGCCAAGGTTGACCAACACCAATCCCTCTCGAGTCCACACACTTGGCCAAGGTTGACCAATACCATTCCCTCCCGAGAGCATATACTCGGCCAAGGAGGACTATCTCATTCCCTCCCAAGTCTTCACACTTGGCCAAGGACGAAGAGAATTATACCAAGGTGCGAGGAGACCTTCATAAATGCTTTCAGGGTATGAAAAGCCAAACGACACACCTCTCCACCTAGGAGCGAAACCCTAGGGTGGCACATCATGCAACGGTCACAATCGGTTAGTCAAGGGACGCAACTCCCGAGGGCAGTACCACGTTTTGACCTCCGACACATCCCCTCATACAAGTCAAATCTTTTTCCAATACTTTGAATCCCTTCGTCTTTCATCCTCGGGCTTGGGGGGGGCAGTGTACTGGGACTACACACCACCCGGTCAAAGTCAACACTAAACACACCTCCTCAGGCTGAGTACCCATCAGGCTAATGGGCCGAGTACCCCCCTCAAGCCGAGTACCCCCTCAGGACGAGTACCCATCAGGCTAATGGGTCGAGTACCCCCTCAAGACGAGTCCACCCTCAGGCAAGTACCCCCTTAGGCCGAGCACCCCTTCAGGCCGAATACCCATCAGGCCAATGAATAGGCCGAGTACCCCCATAGGCCGAGTACCCCCCTTAGGCCGAGTATCCCTCAGGCCAACAAATGGGCCGAATACCCCCTTAGGCCGAGTACCCCCCTCAGGCCGATGAATAGGCCGAATACCCCCTCGGGCCGAATAACCCCTCAAGCCAACAAATGGGCCGAATACCCCCTTAGGTCGAGTACCCTCTTAAGCCGAGTACCCATCAAGCCAATGAATAGGCCGAGTACCCCCCTTAGGCCGAGTACCCCTCAGGCCAACAAATGGGCCGAATACCCCCTTAGGCCGAGTGCCCCCCTCAGACCGGGTACCCATCAGGCCAATGAATAGGGCGAGTACCCCCTTTAGGCCGAGTACCCCCCTCAAGCCGAGTACCCATCAGGCCAATGAATAGGCCGAACACCCCTTCGACCAATGAACAGGCCGAACACCCATTCGACCAAGGAAAAGGCCGAATACCCCTCCGTCCAAGGGGAAGGCCGAATACCCCTTTGGTCAACGAACATGCCGAATACCCCCTCGGCCGATGAACATACCGAATGGGTATTCAGCTACAACGAATTTCCATGAGAAAAAGGAAAACAAGTATTAATTACATTAAACACATCCACGTCAGCTGTAATCAGTGTGCAAAACCTCGTGCACTAGCCCAATAATCTAGAAAGCCCACCAAGCCCAAGAACGTCACTATAAATACGGTATTGATGGGACTGATTGAAAAGGTATGATTTATCTAGTATAAAAGCCTTATTACTCTATACCGAACACTTACTTGATCGTCGGAGTGCCTTTGCAGGTACCCTCCCCACCCCTTGAAAATAGTATTCGGTCGGCACCGAAGACTTAAAAGACCACGAAGGAAGAGCGACAAGAAGAGTGTTTCTAAGCAGGAACAACTTCCCTTAACGGGAAAACTTTGTGACATTGGATTCTGTTGAATGTGC